TGAACTCGTGGATGCCCGGGAGGCCGACAGGTTTGGAGAGCGCCGTGTAGATGTAGGTGAGGGAGTGAGTGTCTGAAAGTCACACAGGAGGAAATGTTTTTATTCCAGCCAGCTGAGAAAAACCATCTGAATATTTACATCCACTATGAATCAGGAAGCTTTGCTCTTTGGTATTTTAGTCAGTCCCTGATAAAACAATGATTACATCCATTCAGTTTTTCTGTGTCTTTAAACCTCTGTGTGCTACATTTGTTAAAGAGCAGCTGCTCTAGAGGACATTAACTTAACTAAGGTCCACCTGTTTAAAACCAGAGAGTTAAAACATACAGTTACAAAATGAGCTTAATCAGATCTCTCACACACCATCGCAATGATTTACAAAGTTATTATCCAAAAATATGGACGATGGTGGACAAGTGAAGGACAGAAGGATCCATCATCCATCCATCATCCATCCATCCATGATCCATCCATCCATCATCCATCCATCCATCCATCATCCATCCATCCATCCATCATCCATCCATCCATCATCCATCCATCCATCCATCCATCATCCATCCATCATGCATCCATCCATCCATCCATCATCCATCATCCATCCATCCATCATCTATCATCTATCCATCATCTATCCATCATCCATCCATCCATCCATCCATCATCCATCCATCATCCATCATACATCCATCATCCATCATACATCCATCATCTATCCACCCATCCATCATCCATCCATCCATCATCCACCCATCCATCATCCATCCATCCATCATCCATCATACATCCATCATCCATCCATCATCTATCCACCCATCCATCATCCATCCATCCATCATCCACCCATCCATCATCCACCCATCCATCATCCATCCATCCATCATACATCCATCATCCATCCATCATCTATCCACCCATCCATCATCCATCCATCCATCATCCACCCATCCATCATCCATCCATCCATCCATCATCCATCCATCCATCCATCCATCCATCCATCATCCGTCC